ACAACAGCGACAATAGAAACACCTTCCCACGACTAGCAAACTAACTTAATAAGTAAGTTTATTCAGTGTTTAAGGCCATTGGCCCTCATCACATCACATAAAACACCCATTTGATAAGTAAAGTTTCCATAATGAATTACCAAACTAACAAATAATAATGAAAACAATATGTGAGTCAGCGTGGTGAAATCAGGCTCTCGTCAATTTTTGGGCATGTAGAGTTATTGGTATCATCATAAAGTTTGTTCACTTGTCTTTATTTGGATGAAAAAAATATCCATTTATCTTGAGTACAAGTTGAGATATTTGCGAATGAAGGAGGCGGGGGGTCACCTGTTTTCAGAGGCAAAATTAGTGAGAAAATGGCTGCCAAAAATTAGTTATTTCCTTAGCTTAAGAGTCCGTGGCAAGTGAAAGTTTACATTTATTGTGCCTTTAATTAGCGTTTTTCAGAAAAATTAGAAATTAGTTCTTTAATGGGCATGAAAGGTTTTGAGCCAAAAAACAAAAATGTTATAAATATTCACAAACCTGCGGAAAAATGCAAGTTTCTTCATTTTGATTATTTTGACGAGAGCCTGATTCCACCACGTTGCCTCACATAAAATTTAATTGTTATTACACACATAAAAACATGGACTGGCCTGGATACATACAGAAAGTACAACGGAAGCTCGCGTACGACCGTGAAGGATGGAGGGTTTTCTGAGTCAGAGATGACACCTCCAGATTTATTGATATTGTTATTACAGTTTGATTGAAAAAAAAAAAAAAGGCAGGGTGATTGGTGGGTGCTCTGGTAGTGTGGCTTGCTCCTTCTTTTTTATTAAGCATCCGTCATCCTTATCCCTCCTCCTTTTTATGTTTGTTACTCCTCTCTTGTAACACGTCTAATCTTCGACACTTTTATTATTATTTATTATGACCTTATTGTGTAGCAAGTGCAGCCGTAAAACGCTTACTAAAACTAACAGAATTACGAACTTTTTGAATATTTAATATTCCTTACCATCTCTCCCCGCTTCCCGTTTTTCTTCTCCCTTTCTTCTTCCTCCACTCCAGAGGCTAAGTAAGTGTTTGGATTCAAGTAATGTTAAACAAGTGTCGGTGACACGGGGATCAGATGGGTGGTCACTGGGGTGTGTCCTTGAGCAAGACACGTCACACGACAACCCTAGCTCAAAATACAGGGCACTGCACAGTGGAAGACCGACAGTGGCATGGTTGTAAACTCTTCTGTTTTTGTGTGATATTGTGTATTTTTTGTATTTATGCATGTTATGTATTTATGTATGTACATATTTATAGCTATGTATTTACGCATGTGTATCTTTATATATGTATATAAAAGTGGACTTGGGAGGCTTTGTGCACAAACTCCTCCCTCATTACCTAACCCACACCTTTGAAAATTTGCAGGCGTCCACCACACCCATGTAGCTAGGACCAAACTTTAAAAAATCAACGCAAACTGCTTTCCCCAATTTTTCCAAAATGCTTTGTTTCGTCCACACAGAGTTTTAGGCCTAGGCTTACTTACGATAAACAATTTCGCAGTCTCATTTTTTTAAAACCTGAAGTCTTTTCTCGACACACTACTGTTCACATGCTGTGCGCACTGAACCCACAATGACTTGAAAATTAAGTCCGCTCATCAAACGAGGTGCCCAGCTTGTTTTACATGTTTGTCATTGTAAACCAAAGTGCCCTTTTGTGACAAATAAAAGTGTAATTAAAAAAAATAATTCTTCTTTCACTCTAACCAGGAGGAATTTTCGACCGTCGCTCCATCCAGGCGCTCACAGCCTTCAGACACGAGGTACACATCTTTAACCGGGCGCAGGCCAAACGGTTCCGGGTACTCAACGACACCAGCATTCTGGACGTCACAGACAGCTTCGCAGTGAGCAACGCGCGTGAGTCTTACCTACGTATTTTTCAACCTTTTTACGGCATTCTGTTGACATTATTAATTTGTGTTTTTTGACTTGTTTGTTTGTTTGTTCGTTTGTGTGTTTATTCGTTTGTATGTTTGTTGGCTGCATAGTGGCTACCAGAAATTCCGCATTTCTAGTATAATTTGTACGTTAGTATGCATGTATGTACTCACACTGACAAGGAGAGAGAGAGAGAGAGAGAGAGAGAGAGAGAG